AATTTTTGTTTAGGAGTTTGCTGCTGTTTGTAAGCCTTGTGTACCTTTTAATAGAGTTTCCTCGTTCTTCTGTGAGTCTTCGGCCACTCAGATGAGGCAATTTTATTTGAAAATCTTTTTAAGTGAAGCCTGATAACACCTGAATCGGGTAAAAATGAAACAGAGATGAATTAATTTTAAAAATAAAGTTCCTGTATAACGCGCGTTCTGATTGGTTGAGACAACATGTCTTATCAGAGTATGAAGAAGTTTCTCCCCCTTCACTTTTTTTGTTCTCTAGCCGCTTATGTCGTCCTTGACAACAGAACAGAGCAAAGTCCAGGCTTTTTTATTTGTTACACAAAAAATGAGAAACTCCAAGTATGCCCCTTATGGATAAAAAAGTATAAATCACTCGCATGAATAGCATCTCCGTTATTTCATGACGAAATAAGGCTAACTATTTTTCCCCATTAGAATAAGTGTTGTTTCAACATGTGCTACAACAATACAACCTGCTTGGTTGGATTTACGGACAAGGGATACAAGTGTGTGTGTCCACCTGGTTACACAGGAGACCGCTGTGAAAAAGGCAAGAGTTATTTTGCACGTGCGTTCTAATAATCATGTTAGCTACTACAATTATGCGTCTCTTTTGCATCCATTTTACCATGGTCTCGTAAACCTCGACATGTGTTCTGATGACTTACGCGTCATTTATTTTCCAACTTGTGCTGTGCTTCTTTGAGTACAAATAACGCTCAGGACAGGGTTTTCTTGCATTGTGCAAACAACGAATTGGATTGAGGTTACCAACGAAAATGGTGAAAAATTCAAATAATCTTTCTAACGATGGAGAGTTGGAATGGCTGGCGAATATTAATACAATTTTATTAGATAAACGAAAAGAAGAAAAGCAGGTAGACGACATTGAAATTTCATTATCTATTGAAGAAAACAGAAACAGCAGCACGACAACGCGCTGATTGCGTTCCGCTTTGCACTCCCCATAAATAGATATCCGCGAAATTACCCCGCATTGAATACAAAAATTGGCGCATTGGATAATAAATCTCTTATTAAACGTTTTGGTGCGTAGTTGTTTGTATTTTAACTTGCCCTACGTGGTCGTCAAGATACTGCACACCTCGTAAAAATACTCACCGATAATACAACACAAAACCTTTATTAAGATCTATTTATCACACTTTGTATCCGTACCCCTGAAAACCACGTGATCCTCCGAGTCTCCCCTCCCCCCTCCGATAGAAAATGACTGGTCCCCAAACATTACTCCACGCGATGCTCTTTCAGTGAGCTTTCAGTCCTGTCGTTTATCACAGGTCACCCAATCAGAACATACTTGCAAACGCTTTTATCAACTTTTTAAAATTTAATTATTTACGGAAAGAATTTGTTTCTACATATGTAAATGAGTGTTCCACGAAGACCGACAACTGTGACGTTAACGCTGAGTGCAACAATACCGAGGGTTCTTTTAACTGCGGCTACAAGGTTGGGTTTAATGGCGATGGCAAAAAATGCACAGGTAACTATGAAATCTGTCCAACTGAATTGCTCCAAGAATCGAACAAAATTCGTTTATATTGCCTAAATCTGACGAGCGTATCAAGAACATGAACGATTTTTTATAAGAAAGCTATTTATAGTAATGTACTGAGGAATCCGGGTCGGCTGCTAATGTGTTATTTATTACGCTTTGCATCCATCGCAGTGTTCATTTCATTACGGGTCTCGTGTCTAGGGTGCTACTACTGTTATGGAGAGCGTGGTGTTACATAGTTGTTAAAAATAGAATCGAGGAAGTTTCTAGAACGCTTAGTCATGCTGACTCATTAAGCACTTTTAATGGAACTTTCTAGAATAGTTGGCCAGCATATTTTCGTTATGATGTAATAGGAGTGTAAATTTACTAAAAATAGCAGTATTACAGATCTCTAGAACATTCTGGAACTTTTTTATAAGATACATACACACATACTTACATACACACATACATTTTGTTGAACACATTCCCATCTGGGGTTTTTAGTGAACAATTACATAATTTACATACTTGGTACTACACATACAAAAAGATATATAAGGAGCCACGATAGGTTAAAGTTAGAGACCTTTTTCAGTGAGTTATTGTTACTACGAGGAGCCCAGAGGAGCGAGAGCCTGATAGAATTGTTGGAATTATTTACTGGAATCGTCTGCCGTGTGAAAGGCTGCCTTGGAAAAATGTTGTGGATATTGATAATCTACAAGGATCTTTAAAGAGAACCGTGAGTTGTGCAGTAGTGTACTGAGAATGAAGTTATAGTATTTATAGAGGGCTCTAAGCTAAGAGGATAGTATTATATAGGTATTAATGTCACTCTGTAGCTATATTAAGAGGATAGTTATTGTATTAGTTTTGGTATCGCTCCGTAGTTATTACGTCAGTCAATAAAGTAGTTAAGTTAGTACGAGTTGTATCCTTCTGGTGGTTGAGAGAATACCGTAACATTACCTATCATCGAACGATTTACGAGTCGCGAACGACAAAGTTGTGTTCTTTTAGTTTTAGTTGCATTACATTATTTTTGAGTGGAGTTAGGTTTACAATTTTTTAAGCACAGTTACATTTTCATTCTGTAATCATTGCTAGCATCACATCATTCACGTCTCGCGCCCTTTTTTTGTCTTAGAAGACGCGCGTCCTTTCTTGATGATGTGGCTATTAATCAATTTGATTTAAGATTGTTTACCTGCGGATTAGTCGTTTTCAGTGTAAATTTAATAATAAAGATCATTTGACGCGGGCGCTTTCAATGACATTTGACACAAACCAAGAATGACAGTTTTAGCTGTCGTTTATAATTTGACTCGCCTTACGGGCTTGTCAAAATGCGGCACAACTCGTAAAAATACTCAGCGATACTACACAACAAAAAGTCAATTAGGACGTATGTATCACAATTTGTAGCTGTTCCCTTTAAAAACCATGCGATCCTCCCAACTCCCCGCCTTCGATAAAAAATAAGTGGCCCCAAAACATCATTGCACGTGGTGCACTTTCAGTGAGCTTTCAGTCCTGTTGAGTATCGCAGGTCGTCCAATCAGAACATACCTGTAAAAGCTTATATCATTTTTTTTATGTCATTATTAACGGAAAGAATTTGGTCCTGCAGATGTAGACGAATGTACTAACAATACCCACAACTGCGACCTTAATGCCAAGTGTAACAATACCGAAGGTTCTTTTAACTGCAGCTGCAAGATTGGGTTTAATGGCGATGGCAAAAAATGCACAGGTAACTATGAAATTTGTCCACCTGTTCCAGGCATCGAAATCAGTTTGTTTATATTTACCTTAACTTGACGAGCGTATCAAGAACATCGACAATTTTCATAAGAAAGCTGTGTATGGTAATGTAGAGATATGAGTCGGCTGCAAATGTGTCATTTATCACGCTTTGCATCCAT